TAGAATGTGTGAATAGAAGTCACGACTTAGTGGATAAATGTTTTCTTAAATATACTTTTTCTGATATAGGTATCAAAAGAAAGGAGTTGGAGAGTAGAATGCGATAAAGTGTATTAGTTATACTCTTAAGGCGTTCCTTGAATATTAAAATCTTAAGGGGACCAAGCGTTCATGTGATGTATGCGAGATCGGCCCCCGCCGAACCTAACTTTCTTACTTGTTTTGTTTCAAATACTCCTTTAACTTAAAAAACCTTAATTATTTGTATGGTACTTACTAACCTCACCACCAACACGGCGAGTGTACTTTTCGTATACTCATTAACGCGTTCGATGATGATCTTATAAGCTGCACTATAGTACAATTAGCAACTGCATTGTTCTCACTCTTTTGTTGGGATATTTTATCAAAGCTTGACATAAGAATTTAATATTACGTTCTTTAGAATATTGAGTTAAGCAAAAGCGCGTGCAAATGAAATGCTTACATATTTTAAATTAAACAAAAATGACATAAAAATGAAGTAATCATATTAGTAATAAAAAAGTGGGAAAGTCAGTGTGAATCAACTGAGAACGTGTGTCTCCCCTTTCACTCCGCAAATGGAAAGGAATACTTATTTCGAACTTAATACTGGAAAAGAATACTTATTTCGAACTGTACATCACCCAATTAAGACCTTCATATAAAATGTCAAGCGTACTATAAAATAAGCAATGAAATCTAAGTAGAGTAAGTCTGTTAGAAAGGACGTCTAAATTCGGTTCTGTTAGAATTAACTTCACCTGAAAAACTGAAAACAAAAAAAAATATTTAAGGGTAGCTCTAAAGAGATTCATGAAAAAATTTTTGGTTTAACATGTTAACATGTATTGCATTCTTCAGACATTTTTACGACGGTACCTACAAATAAGTACAATTCTCATATCAACGTAAGATAACAGGTCGATTGTTTAAGAACATTAAGTTCAATTCCGGTCAACTGGAAATTTAAAATAAAATTCAAGTATCGTATGTCTTCGAAATGATTCAAAACACCAACGTAATCGGGATAACCAGTGCAGCAAATAAAATAGAATACTAGATTACCTTCTTGGAACATGAGGGCTTATGTAAACGGGACAAGACTTAACCAGGAGTTCGTAGGTAAAACAAACTAATTTACTTTGGAAAACATGTTCATGACTACTTACTAAACACTTGCAAATAACATCAGCTTATTAAATCTTGTCTTCTATAAGATGATGGTGATGGATACAAATTATTTTTCAATTGTCAAACTTTAAAGCAACTGAAACGATCAAGACCGTTCAAAAGGCTTATGATATTAGTAGGTTTGATATACAAAAAGAGATGAGCTCTAACCTTATTTTATATAAATGCGTGGACATGGATTAAATAAATGCATATATATATATATATCTATGTATGTATATCAACTGTAAATCGTTCACAATTTTTATATATTTATAACTCACACTTCCAACTAGCCAAAATTTTCCTACGCATATTTTGCAAGAGCTTAGTGCTTAAAAGTATATATGTGTTAATGACGTGGAATAACATTTTTGCTATACTCAAGTGTTGAATTTTTTTCCTTTGTTTTTATTTTTTACTCTTTAATTCATACTAACAGCTCTGGAATTCTCCCTTTCATTCACAAGCCCTTTAAAAAATAGAAATACAAGAAAACTCATGAAACACCCACGCCCTATATGTAAATTGTTAGCTGCTCTCGAAAGCCAACAAAAAAATAACCTAAAAATCGTTTTTCATTACAATATCAACGAAATTTTGAAGCATTAAGCGCACATTATAAAAACGCAGACTTTATAACAAAAGCAAGAACCGATGAAGGAAAACAATATAAAACAAAAGAGAGTAACTTTAATGGTTTTCTTTAAGAGAAAAGTAATTGAGAGGAGAATTCTCCGCACATATTTTCAAATATGTACTCTTTGATATATGGTTGTTCATACGCCCTGTTTTCCCTTACAACATCATGATTTATAGGTACTTATAATCAAAGCACAATGAGTTTTACTTGTTGTTGTTGTTTTTGCTATTACTCGTTTTGTTGTCGTTGTGTTTTTGTTCAAATGAATTATGTGTGCGAATGCATGCCTGTCATTCTCTTTGTTCTTTAAAAATATTGTTATAATTTTTTTTTTCGTTTCTATGAAATTGTGCAGTAATTATTGAAATTGTTTAAAGATGTCGCTGGTCAAATAAACAGTTGTTAGAAAAAAATGTACTTTGGGAAATTTTTGTGTTTGTTTCTTTTTTAAAAATAAACAGCAATAAATATAATACATTTATGTGGATAATATATTTATAGATATGTGTTATGCAAACAAAAGATACACCTGTTGCTTTCTGGTACCGACTTATTAAATAATTATTTTATTCATAATTTTTAGTTTTCGGATTCAAATTTATGCTTTTTTCTTTGTTATTATTGGGTTCGTCCCGTTACAAAAAAAAACACGCTTTAATGAAGAATACATTGTCGCCTGCAGTAACATCATTATGTCGCATTCACGACCGCATTAACGGCTAGACTCACCCAAAGAGTGTTCGAGATGCAATTTTAAAGCCTACTGTTTATTTTCCTTTTTAAACACCATTATCTATTGCATACCCAGCGGTTGGGTACAATTTCGAGAAAATAAGCGTATACAATTATCAAGAATTTTGCATGTATAGTATACTTTGTTGCGAGTTAAAGGTTCATGCCTATATCCAGTTATAGCATTTTATAAATATTATAATAGTTACCAGGCTCAGAGAATTGTTACCCTAAACTTAGCTTTCAGAGAGAACGCGATTGATCAATATTTTCTCCCCACTGGCTATCCCTATAGTAAGCATTAACATGTGCATATACACATCATTAGCTGTTACATGTTGCTATTGTTCACGATTACACTGTCATGATATTAACACTTGACTAGTGCGAATTAAAATTGCTTTCAATCAAATGCTTCAGCGTAAGTTGCGTTTATTTCTAATTGCAACTGTGGTTTCAACGTTCATGACAGACGTTTAATGTATTTCTTATTATTATCATGTATTTTCAGGAGATTGAAATTTGATAACAAAAATGTGTTGAACGGTAGCTAAACGTAATTTTCGTCAAGTCTGCAGCTGTTATATGATGAATCATATGTTCTTCCACTTGAGGGAAATTAATTTTAGGATTTGGTAAATTATTTATGCATGCTATATTGTTAAGTTTCCTAAGATTCGCGTCAGGGAATGTGCCTCTGTGGATTTGTTGTCCTTGGAAAATCGTAAAAATAATGCTTAGTCACTTATTCAAGCTCTGAAGATATTAACGTATAAGAAAACGACTTCAAGTTTTCGCAATGCTCCTGGAAAGCTGCTTTCCATCGTCACAATGGCAACTAACTAAATGTATTAAAATTTTGTCAAATTTGTTCCGTTCTTTCGAGGTTATGTGATGGAATCTTTTTGAACTGCTTATATACTCCCAACTAATTATTGTATACCATTGCTGAATGAATTCATTCGAAAGTGGGCATTCGATTCAAAAATTGGTTGTGTTAGTTAAATATTGCGCGTACTTATTTTCGATGATTATAATTGTCTTTATTAGTGAATTTTAGCTTAAAAATGTTGTGCTGACGAGGAACGCAGCAGAATGGATAAAAAAAGGTTTGGGTTACTTGTAGAAATAACTTATAGAAGGAATCTTATCATAGTAGGCCATTTAATGGAATTTTTCAAAAGTATGCGGTCTGCTTATATATATATATATATATATATATACTACATGTATGACTGACAAAGGATCTTAACTTTATTACTTATAAAGGCAAGCTCGAAGCTTTCCTTTCCGGGCTATCTAAAAATGCTCTTTATGGACTGCTTAAGTTAGGAAAAGCTTCTTACCAACTCTAAAAAGATTTATAAAAACTTGCAGCAACGGTGACTTTTACAGTCATAATGATTCTCCTGGGTTGAGGCAGCAGTGGCGACCGAGTTGATAAGAAGCACTTTTAATGGCACCTTGATCGTAATTTTTCCGATGTTTTTTTTTTCGTTTTTAAACATATGAAAGTTTGTTTTGAGCCATGTTGCAATTTGTGATCCCTTTGGTATTGATGTCATCGTTATTTTTGTTATTATATTTGTATTTTAAATCATATTGTCGTTCTTATTTTTGTTGATATTTTTGTTCTCCCAGTTGTTGTAGTGACCTCTTGAAAAAAGGGCGTTAATCCACATACTTTTTAACCCAAATTACAGAAGTTTTTATATGTAAGAGAAAATAAAAAGTAGGAAAAAAAATATGTTAAAAAGAGGCATAAAAAATTGTAGTTACACTCAACTGCACAAATGGCTCTCAGGAATATGAATAACTATATTTGAAGCTCCCAAAAATTCAAAAACACAATTAAATGCAAGTGTTAAGAAGAAAGCAGAGTGTAACGGAAAATATGGACATGTACTGAAAAAACAAATAAGTTTTTTCTTAAATAAACAGCGATATTAAGAGAAGAGGCGTTTTAGGTTCATTATAATATAATGATAATTATCTTAGTAAACTTGGAGAGAAACAACGCGACACGGAGAAAAAAAGTAAAAGACACAAACAAAGACATGGTGAGAGAGAGAAAGAGAAAGAGAGAGATAGAGAGAAAGAGAAAGATAGAGAGAGAGATAAGAAAGAGAGAGCGCGTTACAGATTCATCATAACTAATAATAATGATAGTAATCTTGTAACATATCAACGCGTCTCTGTTACAACAAGAGATGGATGCGCGTTTAGCATCCTTTACTTTCATCGCTAACGTTTTAAAAGCAGAGAGGAAGTTTAATTCGAAGAAAGAGAGGAAGAGAAAATGCGATGCAGAGCAAAATTGATTCTGTGTAATTGGCATGCCTTAGTTAGTGAGCATGGTTATCTTAGTGTGTGTTTGCAGCTTTTGTCGCAAATTGTCGCTTGTAGTTTAACGGAAAGTTTTCCATACATAGAAATTGTATACTTTTTGGTTTTTGGCATCATGAACTCTTTATGCTCCATACGCAAGCTGTTAGTAGTTGCCTCAGAGCCCGCGGGTTGAAGAAAACGTTTTTGGAAAACGTTGCGTGGATTTTTTTTAAGTGTTTGATAAAGAAGAATTTTTTTTATTAAAAGTAAGCTTACTAAAACAAATTAAAGCAATTATAATAATGAAAATAAATAAATTATTAAATATTGTGATACAAATATGCAAAAAAATAAATTAACTGTGTCAGTGTGAACAAAAGTCAAAGAATATTTTGTTGTCGACAAAGAAATTCTTTCGTTTTACTTGTTTTTTTTTCTTTTTAAATTTTATTTAAAAAAAAAGTGTTTGATTTTTACAGGGCGTGTCCTGCTAGCGTTTTGGTTAAAAATAAGAAAAAAATAAAAGTTGAAGAAAAGTTTCAAGAAGCAAAACAAACATCAGTCGGCGTAATATTTCAAATGTCAATATTTAATAAGTAGATGTAAAGAAAATTGAAAAAGTGTTTAACCAAAAAACCAACAGCAGCAGCAACAACAACGACAACAATAATTATCAAGTAAAATTGAATGAAAAATAAAAAGAAATCAAGTTATTCAAGTTAATACGAAAAGAGAAATAGAATAAAAAAGAAAAATTTATTCTTAAACCTTTACTGCCTCGTTGTTATTCTTTTGCTAACAATTAAACAAACAAAAGATATAAGACGGTATAAATTTTAATAAAAAAGAAGAAAAAAAGGTAAAAATAAAAACCAAGAGAAAAACTAATGCTCTCAGAAAGAATTTTCCTAGTCCGTCTCTAACCTCAAAAAAGAAAAGAAAACACCGTATCGGAATGTTATAGAAAACTATAAATAAATGTATGTTAAGTAAATGCACTTAGTAAAGAAACAAAGGATTGAGATTTTCTCGTTCCTTATCACCCTTACTAACAAAGTCTGTTGATTTGTTATTTAGATTCAAAAAGTTTTATTTATATAGTTTTGCATTTTGTTCTTTTTTCTGTTCTTCACTCATCACACTCCAAAGCCCAGAATATACACATGATTTGCGTGGATGATATGACGCACGTCAGAAATCTCTACAAAATTGAGTAAGCACATGTGGGTGCATTTATGTACATGTGCGTATGCGTGCGTATGCGAATTTTTAAACGAATGTATGTGTGTGTGTGTGTGTATGTATGTATGTATGTATGTGTTAAAGAGCGAAATACGGTTAACTTACTAACAAAAGCAAAAATTGTTGCTTTCATTGCAGAAATAATAGCAAGAATATTGAGCACTGAACGTAAGATTAATCAGCGCCATCGACTTGATTATTGAAAAAAACAAGAAATATTAAACAATCTTGAAAAAAAGGGGGAAAAAAAAATTAGAAATGACGGCAATTTACTTAAGATTACAGCAGCACATTATCGGCAAACTGCTTGACTATTCAGTCCCTTTAACGGTTTGTTTTCATTTTCTACGTTTTATTGCTTATTTTTTTTATGACCCATAGCTAACAAAAGCCTCCATGATTTTTGTTTATTCCTCTAGCGGATTGATGCCCCTTTGTCGTTTACCTTTCATAGATAGTAGTTTTCTCAAGTCATTCATTTTTTCTGCTTTTTTCAAGTCTTCTTTTGTACGTGTTTATGTACAGCGTTTGATTCTAGTGTCTGTTTGTTCCCGGCAATCAGAATACAGTTCAACGTTTGTCATTTTTATTGTTTGTTCTTTGTCTAATGGGTGACACTGCTTCTTTCTCAGTATACTCGGTGCACGATACTCTATAGAACGCTTTATTCATTCATTTTCTACCGTTTACTGTTTGCTTCACCGTGTTTCCTTTCGTATACGTGTGCGTATATGTGCGTTCAATTGTTTTTTTTTTTTTTCTTTTTTTGTTGTTCTATTGACAATAACAACGAAATAAAGACTTACTGTAGTAACCGATACAAGGGTGAAATCTTGTTGCTTTAGCAAATACATTCATACATTTCCACTTCGTAATTTATTGTTTTTATAAAATGCAAAAAAAGTTTTCTCCTCTTCTCCTTCCGAAGAATAAGAGGCATTGAGAGAGCTTGGGTTATATTTACTCAACGAGTGGCTGTTTGATTTGAATGGCTGCTTTTATCTGTGATTGATTTAAGTAAATATTCAGATCGTTAGAGTTTTGTTTATTTAGTGCTTACGTACCCATGCTCTCGTACAAGAGAATTTTCTTTGTCTCTATGCAGAATGAATATTAAACAAATAACAAATGGCATATCTTATAAATTTAACAATAAAAAAATGTATTTTTACTGCGAGGTGTTCAAAAAACTGCATGCTTTCTTTTGCTTTTTTTTTGATTATTGTAACTCTGGTTTAATATTTATTGTATGTATTTATCTGACTGTTCTCCTTCTTTTTTATTAACATTTTTGTTTTGCGGATGCGAGCGCCTTTAATAAATATCGGAACATTTAAAACACTTTAAAACGATCATTGGAGAGTTGGATTAATTCGAGGATGAATTAAAAAAAAAAAATTAAGTTTTATCAAAAAAATAAATGCAAGACTTCTGCTTAAATTGTGGTAATGATTGGAGCAATACTGGTACACGTTAAATACACAGACGTATATATGTAGTTGGGTAGGCAGACGCCCTTAAAAGCCCAATGCCCGTGACCTCAATCCTCTAAGACTAAAGACGAACTGCCAAGTCATATTCTTTAAAACTTGTCAGACCGCATGACTGAGCTGAAATCTTCAAATTTTCTTTACAAAACTATTGCAATTTTTCACTTATAGAGCATTGATAAATATGTGGGCATATTCTAAACGTTCCTTTAAGTCTGATTCACTTTAGTTTAATAGGTAAAATTTGTCATTTCGAATGTTGGAAGCGAAGGTAGACAAAAAGATGGGCATGAAGGTGGAATAATCGATTTGAAAATTCAAATTACTTAAGAATATATGTATTACAAAGTCTCTGCAGAATGGTTCACTATATTACGAAAAGGATGAACAAAAAAGGAGAATAAAGCCTAATATTTAAACATGGACACGATTGTAAAAAATTAATAAGAAATAAACAAAGGAGAATAAAGGCTAATATGTCAACATGGCGGCGATTGTAAAAATTAATAAGAAATTTTTACAATAAAAAAATCTATCTATAATCTCATCCCAAAATTGGAAGACATTTCTCCCGACACGCGATTTTTCGAAATGGCATGCAACAAAACTCCAACAATTTTCATTCTTCTCAATTGAATGTCTTGCAATTTTTTTTAAAATGACCGTCTGAAAAGAAATGTGGGCGTTTGATATGGACTATAAGGCTAAGACTATAAAGAAGTTAGTGATCTCTGCTACGAAGAAGACATACATGATTTCTTATTAATTTTTACAATCGCCTCCATGTTCAAACATTCGCCTTTATTCGCTTTTTTCGGAGATTTTACGCTTAGCAGTGACTCTTTTTACCGCATCTCCCATAGAGAGAATCGCAGAATTCGCGCTGCAAAAGGATAGAGAAAAAGTTTGGGGAATGTACAGTTCTATAGTTGAACTCGTAGATAACATTAAAAACTTTACCTTACACTTTGAATATTTTCGTGGAAGCATCAGCACGTTTCGAATCCCTCCCATGTTCGTCGCGAAGAAGCTAAAACTACGTTTGTTTGGAACAACTTAAATGAACATAAATATATTCTAGACATATTTATTACACAAGTAAACCTAAAATTTCAAATTTCTCTTTACGGACATGTTGCAGTTCAAAGCAACTGTTTAGTCAAAAAAAGGTTTGAAAAATATACAGGGTAAGGTATGCTTCCACTCGTTACTGTGATAAAAAGTAGGTGTGCCTCTGCTGCCCTTTACTTGTTTGCCTTCAGAGCCTTTTCCTAATTATCTTAAGTAAACGTAAGCAATTAATCGGGTTCGCCTTCGTGCTAAATTTTCTCCCTGGGCCACTGCAAACGGCAATGATTGGTTTATAACTGCAGAAATGATCTCATTGTCATGTTTTCCTCCACGAGCTTTGCCTAATTTAATCAACTTGACATGCCGATTGTCATTTGGATTTCGTGTTATTCATTTTACTTGTAACGAAACAAATTCGAAAAAATAAAATAAAAAAAATAGAATGTGTATAAAATTAAAATAAAATATAAAAATAAAGTTGATAACTCCTTTTAATCCTGTTGAAATAACACCTGAATTGTTGCAGTCAGTCAACAAGAATTTTATTTTGCATTTGTTTTACTTTTTGCGGATGCGAGTGTGCGTGGGCTGCAATACATGTGTACTACAAATAAATGCTTAAAGTACATTGTCATGTACAGGTTTGCTTTGAGGTTTTAGTGATGGAAAATAACACAAAAATGAAATTAAAACTAAAAAAAAAAAAAACCCGGAGAAGAGTGAAAGTAAATATGAATAACAAAAACAAAAAAATAAATAAAAATAAATAAATAAAATGTTTCATATTTTTCAGCCAAAGTTCATAGGCCTTCCAAATTAATATATTTTAAGCTCATTCATGCTAAAATTTCTTTACTTTATGACATAATCTGACTGACGTAAATATTCACATTCATAATATATTAAAAAAAAGAGTTTTTTCATTTGATTCGATTTAGGGTAGAATGGATAAACCTGCGTAAGAAAATCCCAGGCAGTCGTAAAAATTTCAATAAGAGTTTAATATGCAGAAAATCAATCTGAGATAACTTCTAGCGAAAGTTTCCTTCTTGCCCGAAATGTGTTTGGAAGAAAATGTCATGAGTACTCGATCGATGGTTACATTGATTGATATTATATCGATGAATACTTTTTTCGTGACCCCGGTTTCTTTTCACGTTTTAATGAAGTAAAAGCTCTAACCAAAGGAAAATTTAACTCACACACAACTTTCTGTTTATACCAATCCCCGATTCATTTAAAAAATTTTTTGTAAAGAATTCACCAAATTTTGGACTAGTTGTACGAGTAATGTGTTGCGCGTACTTTCGAAGACCTTGTTGCTAGCTTATATACATATATAATGTCGTCGTTAGAATACAGGTATCTACATAAGCTTATTTGTATGACAGGTTGATTTTCCGCTGTCTCACCTGGCTGTTGTTAACATGTTTTATTTTGGGAGGACATTATTTCCATTCAAAATTTCGCAAAAACTGACCATTAATTCAGGAAAAATATTCTTAAAAATAAATTTCTTTAGCTTTGGAATATTTCAATACAACATACCAGCAACATCCATCCTCAACGCTTGAAAAAGTGGTTAAAACCGACATTAATTGAGATGGTGCCTGAAGCAACCTGTTGATGGGACACTTTAAACAGGGCATTCTGAACGAGTAAAACGCACAGACTTGAAAAAATGCATTTTTCAACTTGCGATTGTCGAGCTTAATAGCAGCTCAAAAAGCCCTTTTAAACTGAATGTTATTGTTTAGGAAAATTTAAAAGCAATCGTAGATTTCTGAAAACTTTTTTAAAGCGTAAAATCTTTTTATAGACAATTGAGCAAGTGAATGAACAACGAAAATCGAAATCGATTGTTTTCTACACTGCCTTTTATTCATTTTCCAATGCGCATTTCTGCACACGCCTTTTAATATATACATTATTTGGAAAATTTTATACGCTTCCTGTTTTTGGATATAATATTTGTCTTCTACTCCTGGAGTGGCGGCTTCCATTCGACGCGTAGTGTAGAGTTTAAATAGTGGAATTCTTCAAAGAAACCCAAAAACCCTGCTAAGTGATCGCGAATACTTGGCTACCTTGAAAAGAAAAGAACAAATACGACAGCAAAAATGTTGAAAATAAAAAAATGCAGAAAATGATGTGTTAAGGAAAAACCGAACTTGACC